CCGGAGCAGTGGGGCAGAGGGTGGATGCCTTCCCCCCTCCCCGACATCCCTGCGCCTGGAATTTCTTGTCTCAGCAGAAATCCCAGCGCTTGTTTGTGCTCCACCTCGAGAGACAGGGCTGGAAAAGCCGCTCCCCTCGCCCTGGGTGTCTGGGATCGGCTGCCAGAGCCGGCTGGCTCTGCCAGGCAGGTCCCGTGCCCTCCCCGGGAGGCCCCTGCCATCCCACGGGACACAGAAAACAGGGAGACGTCAGGTCACGAACGTGGGTGGGTGGGCAGCAATTGAGTCTCTCCTGTGGAAGCAAAGCAGCATTTTGCCGGGGTCTTTATTGGCAAACTCATGGCTGGGTCCCCATCCAGCCCTTTGTCCAGCACCCCATGGCCCTGTCCCACCATGTCCCCTACTCCCTCCTGCATGACGTGTCACACGGAAGGCTCTGATCCAGGGATGGGTGCTGGGAGCATCACCCAGGGCTCTTCGGCAGAGCCAAGGAGTGGCTCAGGCCAGGATGGGGTAGGTGGCTTCGGTGGCCACGCCGCAGTTGTTGTCCTTCATGGCCATGAGGATGTAGCCATCGTTGCCCCAATATGTGGACCAGGAGTTCTTGATGAGCCAATAGGTCTCTCCCTGCAGGACCCCGTAGCCCACGGCCAGCACCGCGTGGGCCAGGGGTCCCGGCTTGTTCTCTGCAGGGGACGACACGGGACGTGGCTCATCTGGAGACCATCCTGGCAGCGTTGGGTGGGGACACACCGCAGGACCGGTTCCCTCTTTCACCCCTGGCCAAGATGCTCAACAACGAGGAGGGGATCCTGGGTGTCCTGGCACCTCCCTGGGCACCCAGGTCGTCCCATGCCCTGTGTGCCATGCGACTCACCGCACTTGGGCTCGTAGTAGATGCCGTTGGAGTAGAAGGAGAAGGTCTTGTGTGAGGCATCGATGCTGACGGCCACGGGGCCGTGCTTGTAGATGGCAGTTTTGACCGCCGTGATGTTGCCCGAGGTGACGTTGACGTAGCCCGTGATCTTGGCCAACATCTCGGACTGGTTGTAGTGGCACAAGCCATTCTGCAGCACCCAGAGCAGGGTGCGGACACACACACTGTGTCACCCAGAGCCCCCAGGTCCCCTCACTGGGACCCTGCTGTGACAGCATCCTGGCTCGGGTCCCTCTGTCCTCCCTTGCCCACTGCAGTGAGGACGTTGTCCCAGTTGCTGCAGGGACAGAGCGCTGCCCGCCCGTGGCGTGGGGAGCTGGCTCTGCACCCAAAGCCCTCGGGGGGCTGTTGCCTTCATCTTGCAGCCACAACCCTGTCCCCGGGCAGCCCTGCTCCATCCCTGCACCCCAGGGTACGGAGGGACCCACGGCACCACCCATGGGTGGAGGAGCCTTGTCCCTGTTTTGCAAGAAGGAGAAACTGAGGCACGTGGTGATGAAACCAACCGACTGAGCCCCAGGGCTTGGCTTTGGACTGTGCTGTGAACCTCATGGAGCCTGGGGACGAGGTGCCCTCCCCATCTTCAGAGCCCATCAGCACTTCTGACCCATCCTGATCACCCCACCGTGGCTTTAAAGCCAGGCTCAGGGGCCACATCCCGAGACCCGGGGGACCCCAGCAGGTGGATCCACCCTCACCTGCCCCTTGTAGGTGCCGTAGGACTCGGTGGTGGCGATGCCACCGTGTTTCTTGATCCACTCGTAGGCTCGCCACTCCTCACCCCCATCACAGGCGTAATTCCCGAAGCCCCAGGAGCAGTCGATGAGGACTTGTTGGGACAGGGGGGGCAGCACGCCAGGCTGCGGGGGGAAACATG